CATATCGTTATACCACGTTCACGTTCTTGAGTTAAATAATCCGTGACAGTATTTCCCCGATGCACTTCACCTAAAAACCTCGTTTTCCCAGCATAGAAAAGCATACGTTCTGTAGTGGTAGTCTTTCCTACATTTTTCGAAAATTTTCATTAACAATGTCAACAATAATTTTTAAAACATAAACCAAAATACCGGCATCTATATGTGATAATATTGCTATATTTCTTATATTTTTACTGCTGTAAAAGCGCTGTGAGACGTACTTTATATTATTAGGATACATTTTTAATAAAATACTTTGAAAAAGAGTCATTGTATGCTTGTTTTTTTAATAAATACCGAAATATAAACTTATTGATAGGTATTTTTATTATTTTTTTTTTTTGGTTAAATATTATAAAATAGTGATTTACAAAAACAGCTGTTTTGTCATCTCATTGCAGTAAACCGTTCTTTTATTAGCTTTTTTAAAATGACGTTTTTCAAGCATGGTGCTTGCCTTGCTTAGCCTTTCATAGTCCTAAAGGGATTGAGATATATTTGTTAGAGTAACAATTCGTAGTTGATGAGGATAATATTTTTGTCGGAAGTCTAAAGGACGTCCTACAAAATATTTTCGCATATGAAGTGACTGGTAATAACAGCGTTTATAATGATAATACATAATCTCTAGATTGTAAATCAACTTTCTCGAGATAATTTGGAACAAACGATTTTTAGATAAGCTTCTGCTTGAGAAGAAGTTTTAATACACAGAAGATTAAGCTAATTGTCATACGAAAAAATAAAGAGAGTTTTTCCTTTTGCCTGAATCAAAGCTCCCCACATAAAACTTATCATTATTCTTTTCATATAAATTTAATTTAATTGATTCACGCTACCTTAAGAATTGTAGAGTGGCGTATGTTTTCAAACATTTTTATTGAAAGCAAGAGCACCCTCTTAAAAACACGCTAAACTCTATATTTAATATAAAAGAATAATTCATAAGTAATTTGGCAACACTTGAGAGCAAGCGTCTGAATTTGTTTACAATTGAGAATAATTGTAAAAATCAGTTTGTATTTGTTTATGATTGAGAATAATTGCGGAATTAACTGGAAATCAATCTTAAAAACGGAAGTAATCCACTTATGAAACGGTTAATGTAACCTGTACAACAGACATCAAACAATTAATTTCAATTACGACGAAAATCTTTCATACCCATCTAGATGAGCCTAATCTTACATTTCTCAACCATCCACAATACTTATTATATCCACAAATGCCATCCACAATAATTGTTATATCCAGCCATCTACGAACTGGCTGGCTACGTTCCAAAGCAGCTAATGTGTGCTTTACGCTCGCATAATTTTAATATTGAATTTTTTATAATAATGTTATTGCTGCGCTTCTTGAATAAATATATTGTACCGGTCTTCTTCTTGATACTTTTTGTTGTATCGGTGTTCTTGATGCTTTTTATTGCTGCGCTTCTTGAATAAATATATTGTAACGGTCTTCTTGATACTTTTTATTGTACCGGTCTTCTTCTTGATACTCTTTATTGTACCAAGTCTTTTCTACATAAGATTTTTATGGGATAGATACGATTATACGCACGTTAGACACAAGAAAGCGAGAAATAGCGAGGCAAACGTTGCCGGTCAACAAATAAAATTATTTTTCTTTCAAAATTATTAAAAAAGAAATAGATTTATTTCATCAAAAAAGACAAAAATTTAATGAACATTATCACCCTATATAGGTCCTTCCATGTAAGCTGTATGCTTGTCTGGAGAATTACGCCCAATAGATTCCAAATCATTATAACATCTATGGAAGACTCTTTCCATTGCTTCAGTGACAGCTTGACGTGATACATTACGCACAGACAAAACGGAAGCCAAAGCTTTGGTTTTAACACAATTCTACAAATAAAATATGTTCAGATAAGCAGCTTGCTATCATTTCCGTAGCAGCACCTGATGCGCCTGTTTAATGTTAAACAGCGAAGTATCACCTTGCATCACGGCGCTCAAAAGCGAGCAATGAGCTAAGTTGGCTGCTCTGATTTCCGTGCAAGCCAAATAGTCAATGTTACGAAAATCTAATTCATTATTGCAATAATCAAACATACGAATCATTTCATTAGTAAGCATGCCCTGAATTATTCCTTGTTTTCTCGCCATATTTTGGCAGATCGCAATTTGATATGTCTGCGTTGGGCAACCAGAATTTTTTAAAGTACCCATCATAAGTCGCATAAATTAAACATAAAAGCATTTTTTGTTTTTTTTTTTCGGTTTTAATACTATAAGCATTTATTTAAAAAGTAATAACAGCATAATGTATAAATATTTTCAATTTAATAATAAAAACTCTTACATGATCTTGTTAGAAGAAAAATTAGGAAATTAAATTTCTTAATTGCCAAAGAACAATGTTTATTTATAAACTAAATTAATAGTCACCGTAACAATTAGATGTCATTTGTCATTAACTCATAAATTCTTAACGCAAAACGAAAAAAAAAATTCTGCGCACATTTCGGTATACTTCGCATTCGATTGTAAAAAAAGTAATGCTTTATAACAAAAAAAGGAAGTTAGTTCATAGAATAGTCAAAATGACAAAAAATTAAAACCAATTCATATGTTTATGGTACAAATTTAAATTCCTATGAATAGAAAAGTGTTACAATTATTATTTACTCTGTTTTCCTAAAAGGAAAAAAAGGAAAAAAAAAACAAAAAAAAAGCCTTAAAACTTAACAAAAACTCCCTACTCTTGTGCATGTTTAATATTTAATGTACAGTTAATCTAGCAAGAAAAGAAAAAAAAAAGGAAAAACAAATTCGATATATGAATATAAATAAGAGATAGTACAGAAGAAATGTAGTGAACGCAGCAATTTGTTACTAGGAATTTAACGTTTCCTTAAATTAAAGTTTACACAAACAAAACAATAACGGAACAAATGCTCCAATAGCTATAAATATTGGTAAAAATAATGTAGAATCGTCCACCGAATATCCGGTTGCCTCGGACATTTGGTGGCATTGGCGATTTATGCGCTGAAGGCATTTTTGTAAAGAAGATATTTTCTGATTTTAAATCGATGTGAACTAATTCATTGGAATTTATATAAAAGCTAATCCCTCGGCTATATGCAATAGTAATATTTTGCATATTATTTATTTCGATCATTTCGATCATTGCTTTATCATTTTGACGCTACTAAGAAGATGGTGGAAAAGGCTCGCCGGAAAAAGAGAAGAACTCATAAAGAAATATGACCAGGAAGAGGCGAAGATAGCCCACTAAGGTAGTCCACATATTTTGTCAATTTTGCCTTTACTAGAGAAGTACTTGTTAAGTCGTAATTTATCACAATGAAATAGTAATGAAAATTAAAAAGCTGTAAAAAGCATGCAATTGTAAAACAAACTAAGCCTCTCCACAAAATCAAAAAGCATTATTGCCAATATAACTGTCACGTCGAATTACATTAAGCTTACTGAAAGGATGCAATTGTTGCAAGTCTCTAAACAATTTTTATAATTAGTTTAGTGCCTATGGGGAGAGTGTATGTTACATCCGGAACATGCTAATGAAAATAAAGTTTTTGCGATCGTTTTCACTACTCTTTAATATACATCGAAAACTTGTTTCCCTATATTCTTTTAGATTTTTTTATAGCGCACTTTGTAGTTTGCAATTTTTCTCCATGAAAATACGCTTTCTCTTATGAAAATACGCTTTACAGCAAATAATAACAATAAATTTTATTGTTTTTTTCTGCATTTTTAATAACATTAAGCATGATTTCTTTTTCTCTCTAGGTGTGAGCTTTGGATTTTCGTTAAGTTTTACAACTCATTTTGTTGATTTAGCACTTAAAAATTTCCAGTTACCTTAACAAGGACCCGATTGAAGTAAGCCTAAAGGTAGCCCAACTAGCGATGGCAAAAAACTACCTTCACGTTGTTCGGTATTATATATTGTAAGGAATACATTTTCTATCTCTATTTTTACTTGTATTTATAATGAGGTATATGCACAGACACACAAGTTCGTATTATCGTGATATTATCTATATATATAATTTGGATACCTTCTTTATAACCTAAAACACTTACGATGCAAAGGCATATGAAATTGGTTTGGTTATATGTATGTAAAACCCGGAAGGAGTGGAGATAGACTTATATTTTACTATGCCGATTTAAGCTTGTCTGTTTGTCTTTCTGAAATATGGTACACTAATGGGTTTTGACACAAGGTCGAATCCATTTAGAAATGCTTGGGATCAGACCATTTTATCGGCCACTTGCCTTATAACGCATTGTTTTGAAAAGGATTTGTATATTAGGCTGTGGCTCATTATAGTGTTTTTCATTGTTTTCTATATATTATTACGACATAATTTCTCCCAAGTATATAACTACTCATCACTCATGTTTTCCTTCACCGTGCAGCGTACCACTGGTATCGCAAGCTTTGTTGTACCCGAACGACTAAAACGTGCGTACCTTACTTCTATATCGAACTGGGATATGTTGGATGTACAAAGGAGTGATACACAAAGTGCTTCTCAATCGCATTCTGTTTAAAATCGACCCCACCTTCAGCGGTGGTGTAGATTACCATGTAGAATTTTACTTCTCTCGTTATGGCTACCGTAAACAACACTACGTTGTCTCACGAGGGTTTAGAAATTTGGGTGAACAGTTCTTGTTTCCCTCCCGAGTACAGATGTGTAAATGGCCACAATTAGATATACACTTAAATGATGAGGAAAACCTCTTGTTAGACAGTTGCCAGTGTAAATGGCACAATTGCATACTGAACTCTATGCAGAAAAAAGTCGTAGCAAATATACTACGAGGAGAAGTTCACAACATGCCATACGTGATGTTCGGACCCCCTGGCACAGGAAAAACTGTAACGCTAGTAGAAACAGTTATTTAAATTTTTAAATTGATGGCCAGAGCACGTTTGCGTGTAGGCACACCTTCTAGTAGTTCTGCTGATTTCATAACGACGCGTTTGCTCGAACCCCCTGTACTCGAAATAGGCGAAGTTATACATGTAGTATCCCGTAATGAATTCAAAAAAAAACTTATATCAGACCATTTGGGATACTGGCATAGATGACACCTATAAAAACTGTTCAAAGCGCTTAATTAACAAAAGATGGAGCCAAGGATATACGACGACTGACGACCACCGTCTGATAGAATCACTAGACTATCGGATTGGAACACAGGTCGAAGAAGAGTTTCGGCCATTCAGCCTGGATGGCGTGGCGTATCGGGACATGGAAACTGACAAATGGACACCTCAACACGGAGAATATTTCCGGCTACTCACGTGGTATGCAGTAGGAAAATATATCAGAGATAAACTAAAATGCCAGCCATGTCTACAGGAATTCACAATTAATAAAAGAAGCGCATGCAAAAAAGTGGGCCGTCGAATTGTGATCAGGAATAAATATGGCAACGGCATCCTGACGAGTAAGTGTCTCAAACCGGAGTTCCTGACAGAAGACGTTAATAAAACATTTAATACCGTCTACAAGACGTTGTTCAGCATCTATAACGAACACATGCCAGTTGCAAATATCGGAGCACGTTTGCAGGCAATAGTTTTAACCCATATTCCATTTTTCCAAAAAAGAGGATCCTGCTCCAATGGAAACGAGCATCGGAGGAATCTGTTTGGATACAAAGCCCTGCTAGAGATAGCATATACAACGAGGGACCACCAACCTCCGCATAGACTCCGCGGAGAAAACGGCGGCTCCAAGAAGCAGACCAGCATGAAGAGAGCGTCGTACAAGAGCCAAGAAATGTAGTCCAGGAGTAAACGGTGAGTGCAGTGCTGGATGTCGAAGCACTGCGAGAGCTCGTGAGAAAGTTAACACCTCACGACAAAGTAGTGACACTTCAGTTTGACATAGTGTACACTAATATAAAGACAACCTATTTAAAGAAAGGGGACAGACGTGATCGGTGCGGATATGAGGACGAAACGAGGGAAAAGAAGTACAAGAAAGTACTCATATTCGAAGTGCGTAGCATGTTGACGGCGTTCGACATGCTCACGAGCTCCGAGAAACTGATTGGATATAAGAATCGATAGACAGGAAAAATCATTAACATTGCTTGTCAATATTACTAAATTCGGGGAAAAATTGTAAGGAAAAAAAAAGGCTTGAACTGATCGAAAAACGTGAGTGGGAAGAGGCGTATTTAGATAGAGAAATTGCTAGGGAAATCATTGAAATTGATCGCCAGAGAGCAAGACCATCTATGCGCGGTATTATTAGACCTCTTCCACCTTCACTTCGTTTCAGTGCCCGTGATGCACCAGAAAATTTCCATTGTTTTAGACGTACAGGTAAAATATATTATAAGATAAAATCGGGAGTTAGTTTTGTAAAGTTCTTCTCTTTGTAATCTAGGTGTCATCACCGGGCTGTATGAGAATCGTGGAACCGTAGATGGCGGTACATTTTTTGTAGTAGATATATCGTCTATTCCTAGCGGAATGAGAATGGGCTCTCCCGTCGAGTATTTGGCTCGCAGGGATGCATTTATCGGGTACATTGACGTTGTTAAAATTGAGCGCGTCGTTGGAGATGCCTGGGATGAAGGATTCTTGGATGAAGAACCGCTCAGTGAAGAAGATTAAATTATTTTTAATTATACATATTCCAAATAATTATAATTTAAAATACCAAATTTTGCATGCATTATAAGTTTTGTTAATCAACCATTGGCAAAATTTTAATAAAAATGGATTTCATCCGGAAATGAATTTCAAAGTATTCTTTCTTTCATTTTGTCGAACAAGTTTAATATAAAAAAAATGAGATCAATCCAAACGTTGCATACATTTAATATGTAGATAAGCAGACAATTGCACAGCATTTTTTCTTCACAGCTTTATTAGTTTTTTTTTTTTTTGTATTTACATTTCAAAACGCAAGGCAAGGAATGAAACGCCACCATACAAATAGTACTTATACTTAATATATGGCAATAGTTACGTTATAAGTATTATTTACAATTATCAAACGCATTAGCGCTCATCTCCTGCTTTTCCGTTTTCCCTTATTTCGTTTCAACTCATCACACCTTTTCACTTATTGTCAATTTTTCGGATATTGTGAATATTGGAATTCAATTGTCAATTACAAATCAATCAGTTATTTAACTGTCAAGTAAGAAAACAATTTTTTTTT